TTCGTTTGGCAGATCACAACTCAGCCACACAGCCCCTGGAGAGCTCTGCAGACTGAGGGATGCTTCTCCGACAGTCCTGGGCTGGTGTGGCCTCGCTTTCTGCTGCTTTGTTTTGTTTTCTTTTTTTTAAGATTTTATTGAGGAATTGGGGGAGGGGAACAGTGTTGGGGAATCGGGGAAGGGGAACAGACAAGTCGCTGTCCTTTTGTTCTTCAGTCTAGTTGTGGAGGACGTCGCTTCACTGGCCCATGTTGGCATTAACATTGCGCTTTTCCCGGCTGAGGCAGTCGCTCGCCAGCCATTGGACGGCTGCCCACGGTGGCCCACGAAAGCGCACGCCAGCTGCTGGCCAGCCCCACCATAGCCCACGCCGTCACCGGTGACCCACGGAAGCCCAGCCCCAGGTCGAGCTGCTGTTCACCATCCCAGCCGCAGAGGGTGCAGTGTCACTGGCCCGCATGTGGGATCCGAACCGGGGCCCTGCTGCTCAGAGCCTGTGGCCCAAGCCAACTCCTAACCAACACACCACTTGGTCAGCCCTGTTTTGTTTTCTTAACTCCCAAAGGAATTGCAATATGCGGCAAGGTTTGAGGATTACAAGTGTCACCCCAAGGGCAGGACTTTCAGGTGAGGACTGGGCTCACTGGCTATGACTTGGCTATTACTGAACCTCCCTGAGCCCCGCTTTGTTCATCTGTTGAAAAGTGGACGTGAGGATCAGTGGGCTCATCGTGAAAGCAGCTGACACAGTTCTGGGCAACAGTGGGCACCCAGTCCATGTACGCCCCCTTTCTCCCAGGAGGCAGCTCACGGCGCCCACCAGCTGCCACTGTTTAGGGCTGTGGCAAGGAGGATGGGCCCGCTGGGGAGCTCACGTCTGACAGGACCTCAGAGGCCTGTCCAGTGCTCATGGCCGTGCGTGTGCTCGCTCCGTGGACGTCTGGTTTGGAGCTGGACTGGCGGAGGCTGAGCTGAGCGGTACATGTGGCTTTGGGATTCATGAGGGCCTCAGCCTGGGCGGCCATCAGGACCACAGGCAAGGTGGCTTAAATAACAGAACTTGATCGTCTCACAGTCTGGAAGCAAGAAGTCTGAGATCAAGGTGTCACCAGGGATCATGGTGTCGCCTGGTATCGAGGTGTTGGTTCTTTCTGAGCCTCTCCCTTGGCTTGTAGATGGTCGTCTTCTCCCTGTGTCCTCACACGGTCATCCCTCTGTGTGAATCTGTGTGTCTGTGTCCTAATCTCGTCTTATTTAGGACCCCAGTCAGATTGGATCAGGGCCCATCTAATGAGCTCATTGTACCTCACCTTTTAAAGACTCCATCTCCTAATAGGCACATAGTGAAGCACTGAGGATTAGGGTGTCAACATACGGATTTGGGGGACACAATTCAGCCCATAGCAAGCCTCAAACACTTATTTCCCACTTTCCAAAGGCTACCCCACATGGTTTAGTGACACTACTGTGCAGCTGTGTCCTCCTGCCCCCACACCTGGCCATCAGGAGTTTTATCAATGTACTACTAGCGCTGGCGGGGGCACTCGGGACAGGCCGGGGTGGCTTCCCTCAGGATTGGGGTCCCCTCCTTCCTCCTGCAAGACCTCAGCCCCGCCTTGCTGATCCTTGTGTGAGGAACGCATGGCACGGCTGACACATAAACGGGCTGGTGCCCAGCAGATGCGTGGGTAATGTGGCACCCATGGCTGCCTGGCTCAGAAAGTGCTGTGAGTGCCGTCCGCCTCCCGTCCCCCTGTCAGCCGGGCCTCCCAGAGGTCTCACCTGAGCCAGCAGCCCCAGATCCTCCTCTGACTGCCACCCCCACCTGCTCACCCGCTGATCTCACCTCACCTGCCCTCTTCCCTCACCTGCTGACCTCCTCACCTGCTCCTCAGGAACGCTTTCCTTAGAGCTCACTGCTGCTCCCGCCCCCATCGGGCTGTCTCTCATCCTGGCCTGGCTGTGAAATTAGTCTCTGTTTGGATGTGCATCTTCACACTCCCCTGTCCCCACCCCTCTCGTCCTGTTTCCCGGGGCCCCACAGAGGGACATTTTTGCTGACAACTCAGCTTCTCTTAATGGAAACCTCCTTGGTCCTCCTGTTCCAGTCCCACTTCCCTCTGTGTGACTCCCCACCCACAAACCTGCAATAAAAACCAGGGGGGCTCTTGGGAGCTGCAGCCCTGGGGGGGGGGTGGTTTCACGTCCTAAAGCCTTGACAATAGTCTTGTGAGGTGAGCACTGTTCCCATTTCACAGATCAGCTTAATGGCTTTCCTCAGGTGACACAGGTGGTAAGTGGCAGGAACCAGGCATCACTCTTCATTCACAGGCAGGCCCCTGCCCCTTCTGAAATTCTGACCCACCAGCCAGCCCTCACAGGTCATCATCCCAGCTTTTCCTGTTAGTGATGAGTCGATGCACCTCCCCCGCACTCCCCATGACTGCCTGCCCCACACAGCTCTGTCCTTGGCCTTGGAGCACCTCCTGACAACCTCTGGCCCCCCACTGTGCCGGGAAGAGGACAGTCACAGCATCAGCGCTTTATTCAGTGCCCTGCGAATGAATTAGGCAAATGGCTTATTGGAGCCTCAGTTTCCCCAATGGTGAAATGAGGGTGGGCACATTGTAGGGTGAAAGGTTAGAGGTGATTTGGAGGGTGGGACGTTTATTCCAGGGTTAGGGGGGTCAGCCCAGCACCGCCTTCCACGAGCCCCTCCCTCCCCCTGCAGCCTCCTCACCCCTGCAGCTCAGGCCCATTTGACAGCCAGACCTGGTTGTCAACTGTAATAATTTATACCTCTGCCCCCAGGACCAGCTCCCTTTCACAGCCCCGGGCAGACACGTGACAGCACCAGCCACCGAGGCAGGTGGGCAGCTCGCACCCACACGTCCCAGCTGAGTCCAGGCTAAGGGTCTGAGATGACCGTTTCCCACACAAGGCTGTGTGTGTGGCAGACAAGACACCTCTGTCTCTCTCACCAAGAGGCATTTTACACAGGCCTCACACTTCTTTATTCTGGTCTGGCTCACTGGGCAGTCTTCTCCCATGTGGCTCCAACACTGAGGCAAGTTGATCAGAAGATCGCAGGCCCAAGCCCATGCGTCACAGACTGGACACAGGGGGCGGGGGGCGGGCGGCGTTCTCCCTGCAGCCCCTCCTGGCTCGGCTCCCCCACCCCTGCCCCCGGGGCACTTGTCAGCTGCTATTTCTCAAGATAACTGCAAATTCAGTGACTGTATGAATCTCTGGGAGCTGGGCTCACGCAGCTCTGTCTTGCCACTTGGCCTCAGAATCAGGGTGGGAGCCCAGGTCCAGGGTCAACGTCAGCGTGAGCCCCAGGGCCTCCACCTAGACTGGCCCTGTGGGTTCCTATCTGCTTTGCTCTGCCTCTTCTCACAGCAAGAAGACACCTCCACTGACACTTAGAGATGGCCCCAGATCACAGGTGGAGATCACAGGTCACGTACGCTGTACGCTGACAGCCTTAGAATTTAGAGGACCCAGAAACTTGGAGAAAATGACATCTTTATTTTCATGAACCTCCAGCTGAATGTAGCCAACAAACTAGGAACTTGTCACCAACAAAAAAACCCTAGATATTTTCCTATCACATTAATTATTGCAAATTTTTCATTAACACTGTTTGTGCTCATCACTACTTTGAAATTACAGCAGCTATTAGATAGGAGGCCTTGTTATTTGACTTAGAAGCATGTATTATAAAAATATTTTGATAACTGTGTGTCAGTTAATTAGCCGTCTCTGGAATCGCATGGTGTGTTTTATTCATGTGAAAACCTTCTCAGAAGAGGCCCCAAGCTGCCAGCAATATCAGAGGCCCAGCGTGAAGTTGCCCAGGGGCCTGTGGCCGCTCACTGAGGACCACGGGGCTGCGCTGCCCACCCACTTTCAGAACTCGCTCAGCCATGGCAAACGTGATAGGAAATAACGGTCCTCGCCTCCTCCTTGCCTCAGCACTCACTTCCAGGGCTGAGGACGATGGCACTGGGAGGTGACTGTTGCCAGCTGCACAAGTGCTGGTTCTGGGCTCCAGGACCTGAGAGGTCTGCAGGGCTGGGGTGGGGTGGCCACGGGGAAAGATGTGTCTTCCCTAAGGAGAGGAAGGAAGGGAAAGGAAGGATGGACAGAAAACAGAGCTGCAGCAGGAGTGGGGAGAGGAGAAAGGAAGGAGGATGCAGAGGACAGACAGACACACGCGCACGATTCCTGAAGGGCTCTGATGGATACGGCACCATTATGCTAATGGCTTGTTTTGTTTCTCCCATGGCCGGAGAGCAAATTTGTGGCTGCTTTGCCTGGAGAAAGAGGGTGCGGTGCGCAAATGTGCTCCAGGGAGCTCACCGGCGGTGTTTTCAGCACTCCCACCTCCATCTCAATCCAAAATGCTGAAAAGAATTGGTCAAAGTTGTGTTTCCTTGACAAATCTGCAGGGTTGCTGAAAAGCAGGGATGTTAGGAGGCTGAGGAAGTGGGGGAGGAACCTCACCCAGCCTCAGATGGAGCTGGAGAGCCCGAGGTAGCTGGTAAACATGTAGACAGATTTCAAATACTTAAAACTGTGCAAATACTGCCCCCTGCCCCTACCCGGGTTTGGATTGTAGGCCCTGGGTCTGTGCATGCCCAGGGCTGACTGCAGGTGAGTACTCAGGAGTGGTGTGACCTTGAGCAAGTCAGCCTCTGACCTTGAGCAGGGTAAAAGCTTCAGCACCAGCTTTCCCAGCCAGCTGTAAAACTGCTATCTCACAAGATACTGTGAAGAGAGAAGTATTTAAGAGCCTTAGTGCCTGCCCCATCATTAACACCCCTCGAATGGTAACAGTCATTGCAAATAAGAATGATCCACAAAAGGGCTTTTCCAAAGTGTGACAGGAAATGACAGTGAGCAGGGCTCCTGAGAAGACAGAGCATCACCACCGTCCTCCAGCACCAGCCACATCTGTCCCATAAAGACTAAAGAAAGACACAGCCGCCGCCAGGCAGCATTATCTATAAAGTATCTTCTCTTTATTTAAGTTAAACAATTTTCAAGGATGGTTTCCATCTATAAAATGGACAAAGTACAAGCTCTGTACAGCAGTTCTTTAAAAAAATCAACTGGAAAAAAAATTACCAAACTATATTTTGAATTTGCAAAACATACAGATACCATCATTTTCGCTTTTATGAAGACATAAGAAAGACCGTCACAGAGAAGACGACTAACTTCGCCACGCTTTGCTCACAGGGCTCTTAGGAAAGAATCTTTATTTGTAAAAACAGGAGTGGGAGGGAGAGACAGTCCCGATGACTACAAAATAATGCAACCACAGTAAGTCACTTTGGCACACTGTGTCATGTAAACATAGCTCACCTCAAGGGAACCCTCCCAGCCCACCCTTGCTCACAACACCTGCGCCACCCACGGCCGCGTCGCCCACCAGCTCAGGGATGGGGAGCTGTCCCCCAAGGGGCTGGGTGTACCTGGCCTGATGGTACAAAGGTTGGTAAGACTTCTGGGTTGGGTGGAGTTGTGTGGGCGAAGGATCGTCAAGGTCAAGAACTTGATTAAAATTTGTTTTCCATCTTGGCCAAATTTGTTTTCCATCAATGGGACGTTTTTCTAACAGCAGAAACAACTCATAGTTGACAGGGTCTAACAGGGACCCAGGCTGAGTTGAAAAGCCTGACACAGAGCCGGCTGCCCCAGGGCCCACCTGGAGCCAAGGCCTCTGAAGATGCCAGTGTGGGTAAGTTCGTCCAGCTCCAGCCGCCTGTCCATCGGAAATGTGTCTGGCCGCCTGGCAAGGGGTGGAAGGGGAGAAGACAGAGGAACAGGTCCCTCAGCCGCACCTCCACGCCTGAGCCCACTGTCATGAAGCAAACATGCAGGGTTTTTGCAGTGGAGGAAGAAAGATCACCAATATTGCCTTTCCTAAAAGAAATAAGCAGGAAAGAGAGCAGTACTTGGCAGTGCCAACCTCGCAGAACCTTCCGGGGCCACTTCTCACTGTGTGAGCTCCCAGCACCCCCAAAGGGGACTGAAGATGTGCATGTAGGAAGTGTGTCCCACCACATGGTAGCTTGTGGGTTGCCGGGGTGGCCAGCCTCTGAGACTGGGCATGCGTGTGGGAGGGGGCGGGGCAGGACGCGGGCCAGGGGCCAGTCTGCAGGGGCTGTGGCCCTCTGACCCTTCAAAGGCAAGGAGGGCTGTGCAGGGATAGTTCTGGGTGCCAGGCAGACGCTCAGGCACCTCTTCCTGTTCCTAACTCGTAGTTTGTAACTGTCCTGTGGTTTATACCGACACCTGCTTCTCAAGCCACCAGGTGCCTGTTTTGGGCCCTGAGCGGGCAGTGCTGCTGTCCATCCTTCCTAACGCTTGATCCAAAGCTCCTGAGGCATCACCTGGGCCTGGGAGGAACAGCAGGCCGGCCAGATTCCGGGGCCCAGGTGACAGTGGCAGTGCTGCCAGCACACCAGGACAGTCACGAATAGCCCGATGCCAGCCTGTGACAGCTTCCGACAGCCACTGGGAGCTGTGGGATGGTTTTAAAAAATTTTTTTTCTGTAGAGAAACGAAATTTAATTTAAAAAGACCTAAAGCAATATTTGTCAAAATAAGTAGCCCATGCAGGTTTACAGATACCCAGGGCATGGGAAGTGGGTCCGAGCAGAGCAGTGACTCCCAAGCTAAAGCCAAACAGAGATGTCTGGCCTGGGCCTTGGGCACCACTGGCTCCCGGGGCAGCTGCGGGAAAGGTCCCGCCAGCCACGGTGGCGCCTTCTCACCACTAAGGCCACTCACAGGGGGTGGAGGCCACCTCCCCCTCTGGGACAGCCTGGCCCATCCTGCGCCCGGCTGTGAACTGCGTCGTGGAGAACTTACAAGATGAGGACGACCTATAGAAACCATGGGGAACTGACCGTACACTCTTTCTCTCTGTATACTTGTAGTTAGTGTCCCGCCATAGAAAAGTTCATATTCAAATGTAGCAAGTACATCATGTGGGAGGGGGTCTGTAGCTGGGAACCGGGGAGCAGGGCAGGGGGACGGGACGTGACCCTGCCAAGAGACGGTTCGGTGCTGTGGGGACCGCACAGGATAGCGATGGGATCAAGATGGAGATTTCAAAAGACTGCTCCTTGGTGGGGCGGGCGTGCCCCTCCCGGCTCCCCAATCCCCAACCAGACCAGGAGGAAGCCGGGAAGGGGGAGCTGTGGCCTCCAGAAGGGGGACTTGGCCGCGTGCTGCGACGAGGGCAGTTCTCTCTTCGCCTCTTCTGTGTCCACCCAGTGTCCCGTGCCTGGCTGAAGTTCTCCGACTTTCAGACCATGATGGAATACTGAGGTATATAGTTTCGCGGAAAGTTTAGGAGACGCAACCAATACCATGACCGTGAGACGCAGCTGCTGGTGCAGGGACAGGATGCCCGGCCGGGGCGCCTACTGCTGCAGGTTCAGCGAGAACTTCCACTGCTGGGACAGGGCGGGGCCGCACACCTCCACGCTCAGGCCCCCCGTCTTGGCTGTGCGGCTGTCCAGGCACAGATTGCTGCCCACATGCCGTAGCTTGGAGTTGCCCTCGATCTGCTCCCATTTCTGCAAAAGACAGGAGGACGCCTACAGTGAACGTGGAGCAGGGGGCAAGTGGGTGCATCTGCAGGGCTGGGGCTGCATTAGAAACAAAGGTCTCTGGTCATAAAGGATGGGAGTAGCCACAGGTCTGCCCAGGAAATAAACCTGGGTCTGCCTTGCCTTGCAACTCAAAACCTCTTCTCTGGGCCCTGCCAGAGGTCACATCTCCTGCCCCATCCTGTCCCTTCTTTGGGTATCCCCTTCTTCAAGCCCCAGTGCTTTCCTGTAGGGTCTGCACCCATTCACAGAAAGCCTGATGTGATATTTCACCCCAAGAAAGTAGCCACAGGGCACTGACAGCTTGCAGGGGGCCCCAGCCCTGCCTAGGGGCCTTGGTCTGGGCACTTTCATGATCCCACTTAGGGCGTATGCTCAGAAGAACGGTGTCAGGTCAAACAGAGGCAGAGACGGAACATCATGTTGAGGAACCTATTTCTATATTGTGTGTCTTCCCTACCAGTGTGTGAGCACCTACACGGGTGTGAGAAACTTCTCAGCCACCCTAGAGTCCCCCAGTGCTCTGCATGGCAGGGACCAAACAATATTTGCTGAGTTCTGAACATGCATGCCCCCCACTAAAACCAAGCCAAACCAACCAACCAAACTCAATCACCAATCAACACACCAACCAACCAAACTCAATCATTAATTAATCCATCAACACATCAACCAACCAACCTACCAACCAACCAACTGAACTCAATCATCAACCAACAACCAACCAACATCAATCACCAATCAACCCTTCAACCAACCAAGTCAGAAAACAAAGTGCACAACCCAGCCTGAAGGAAATCTGGGGACCTTTCACCATGTTGTTTATCCCCATGTGAAAACCTCTAAGCTTGTTCTTTAGAAGAAAAGTAACACACGTGTTTTTTTTCCCCAAAGCTCTCCCTTCATTAATGTCACCTGTGATTCTAATTAATTTTTTACACTGTGTGCACTAAAGCTCCTTTCCGTAAGTATTGTTACAAATCCTTTTGGTGCTGTGGAAAGCGAACTTGCTTACTCTTGCCTTCCTCCCCTCTGGCTCTGCAAATGCACACATAGTATGAACATACAGATGAGCCTGGAAACCAGGTATTCCAACTGGAAGGCAGTGCAGCTTCAAGATAAAATCAGCTGGGAAGCCTCTTCTCAAAGGGCAAATGGATGAGGTGAGGGGAGGCGGGCAGAGAGGAGCCCAGCGCCTGGCAGACCTTCTACACAAGGACGGCTGCAAGGATGCTCTCAGAAGGCCCCAGGGGCTGATTTCCCCACAGTGCCACCAGGTGAGCCCAGGTGAGTCAGGGAAGCTATGGCCACCTGGCTGCCACCTCCTCCTGCATTCCTGCCCCCTTCACTGTCAGCTATTCCTCATGCTGTTTTCCTCCATTGTCATGTAAAGTGTGTATGGCTGCCAACATCTGCATGTCACTCTGAGTGGCCAGAATGAATGGCATCTGAGTCCCTTTTCTGGGCGGCTTCTGCTGTCAAAGCACCTGCTAAACGGAGGGCCTTACAACCCCCCCCCCCCCCCCAGCTGTCTCCGGAAGGCAGTATGTCAGGTTTCTAGAATTGGCACAGCCTCACCCCCTCCTTAATGGGCGAAGTCTCGGGGTGACAAGTTTAACAGCTCCTCAGGCATACACGCCAGCATCTAGAAAAGCTAACTGTTTGCAGGCCTTTATCCACCTCATGATGTGAGCCTTGCAGGGTGTCAGTTATGGTTCCCAAGAGCTGGCACTGAGGCAGGACACCTCTCAACTCTTGAAATAAAGCCAGCTCTTAATAAAGGTAAGTCTAGTGATGAAGCATCGTGTCTTAAAAAGATGTGGGGGCCAGATAGACTCGTCACTGTCACTTGGCTCCATCTCCACAGACATCACCCCCTTACACCCCATGTGATGCACCCGCCTTGAAGAGTTCCGGGTAGCCTGGGTCCAAGGGATCGTGGCCTCCCTTGTCTAACAGCCCCTCTTGCTCACCAGGGCACTACACAGTCAGGACACTGCATTAACACACATGAGTGTTGCGGTGCCAACCACGAGCACGGCCGGCAGAGGCGGCCCCCATGGCAAACCAGGCTGGGGTCCGCAGCGCAGGGCAGCAGGGGCGTCCAGGGCTGAGCTGGGGGCGGCTAGAAGAAAGCGGGCCCTGCACGCATTTCCCTGACACCTGGGACTGGAGCAAGGGACACTGGCGAGGAGGCAGAGTCTGGGCCTCATCCTCCCCTTTTGTGAAATCAGTGTTGGATTAGACGCCCACATAGGCGCCTGGCGCCAGCAGGCTCCGTGCCTCAGTTTCTCCACAGCCACCTGTCTCATAAGGAGCGGCTGTAGAAGATGGGCCAGTGCTCCATGCGTTGGCACGCTGGGGGGCCCTTGTGGCTGTATCTACCTCTGACAGTAGCCATGAACCTGCGGCTCAAGGAGAGGTCTGCCTCCAAGTTCCCACCAGGGAGCACATCAGACAAGCCCAGCTTTAAAGTAAAAATATACTCTGAACTGTTTGGAAAAATATAGTATACTTGAGTGTGTATGTGGATAAGGTCTCATCCATTTAGACTTTAATCACTTAGAATTTTTTAAATTTAAAAAGGAAAACTATTTAATGAATTAAAAAAAGCATGTAATTTCTCTTTACAATATCCAGTGGTGTGGGGAGGACAATGAAAACAACCAGAAAAAGTGTCATCAGACCTCCAGTTTGGGACACAAGGACTCTTAAAACAGTCTTGCTCTCACGGCTGTGACGTTACCAGCATACCGGAAAGACAGCCCGGGACGCAATACCTCCCTTTAGTGGCGTCACCATGAACCTCACTCTCTTTTCTAGTACTTACTGGTACGTCAGTGTCTCGCTAACTTCTCCTGAATGAAGTCAGACACTTTTGTTTTCTAAACAAAGCTTTGAGTCATGACTTTCACTCACTCAGGCTGCGTGTTTACGAGCCAGCGGGGGGTGCTGTGTTCTGAACCTGGGCCACACTCCCCGTGTGTGTGTGTGTGTGTGTGTGTGTG